TGGAGCAACTTGTCACTGTGTTCGGAGCCCTCACCTTAAATACCATCTTCCGTTAAAGACAAAAGAGAACGTTAGGGTTAGGTTTAGGGTTAGGGTTAGTGTTTTGCAACTTGAAAGAGAAAAAAAGTAACTCATATGGAGATAGAAAAGCAAAGGTTTGGTAAAGGGAAGTTTGCTGGGCCATGCCGAGACAGTGGGATACAGAGTGGTTTCTGCTCTCTAGGCCCTGCTGAGTTTCCCCCACCACACCTAGCCCATATTCTTTGCAGATATCTCTCCTGATAGCTGGAACAGGCCCTCTATCTAAGTTCTTTTAGGCAGTTAGGGGGAAGGTAACAACTTTTTCCTGAGTCTTTTACAACAACTTTTTCCAGAATTTATTAAAAAATTCTGTATTTGAAACTCAGTTGCTAGATACAGTATTTAGGTCTACATAAGATGATAGTATTAACGAAAATTATGCTTGTAGAGGAAAATGAAATATTTTACTATTATTGAAAACCTTCTACAACAGCAGGATTGAGTAGCAGTGACTGAAACAATATGGCTTGTAAATCTTAAGATATTTTCTATCTAGTTCTTTATAGGAAAAGTTTGTCAACTGCTGATAAAGAATTATATTGCTTGGGAATATGGTCTGTTTTCTTTCTTTCTTTTCAATCTATGTGCCTTTTCTTTCCTTTTCTTGCTTTATTGCACTAGCTAGGATTCTCATGCAGTTTTGCCTAAGAGTGGTGACAATGTACTTCCTTGCTTTGTTCTCTCAGGAGGAAGGCATTTAGTTTTTTACTGTTAAGTATGATGTTAATTGTTGGTTTGTCGTAGATATCCTTTATCCAGTTAAGAAAACTACCTTGTATTCCTAGTTTACTGAAAGTTTTTAACATGAATGAGTGGGTGCTGCACTTTCTTAAAATTCTTTCCGGTATTACTTGATATGATCCTGTAGTCTTTCTTCTTTAGTCTATGAATATGGTGGGTTACATTGATTTTTCCAGTATTGAACCATATTTTGCATTCCCTGGATAATCCCCACTGGTCGTAATATTTTATTTTTTATGTGTTTTGCTGGACTTGATTTGCGATTATTTGAGGGTTTTTGTCTTTGTGAGGGATATTGGTTTGTGGCTTTGTTTTCTTGTAATGTCTTCTTTACTTTGATATTGGAGGAATGGAGGCCTTCTGCAGTGAGTTGGGAATTAGTCTTTTTCTTATATTTTCTTGAAAATACTTTTTTTTTTAGCATTGGTGTCATTTTCTTCTTTAAGTGTTAAGTAGAATTTGTCATTGAAACCGTGTGGGCCTGGAGTTTTCACTTTCAGAAAGATTTTAACTACAGATTCAATTTGTTTAGTAGAGATAGCATTTTTCAGGTTATCTATTTCTTCTTGGGTAAGTGTGGTTATTTTGTGGCTTTCAAGGTATTGGTTCATTTTATCTAAGGTGCCCAGTTAATGTGCATAGTGCTGTTTGCAGTATTATCCTTTTGGTGTCATGGGTTCTGTAGTGATAGCCACTTTTTTGTTCCTGGTGTTGGTAATTTGTATCTTCTTTCCTTTTTGCTTTATGAATTTAGCTAGAGATTTACCAATTTATTTTTCTTTCTAAAGAACTACGTTTTGGTTTTATTGATTTTTAATTTTTTGGGCTCCCAATTTTATTGATTTGTGCTGTTACCGTTATTTTCTCACTTCTGCATGCTTTAGATTATTTTGCACTTCTTTTCCTAGTTTCTTAAGGTGGAAACTTAGGTTATTGATTTTGGGATGCCTCTTTTGAAATATATATAAGCATTTATATATATATAGTGTGTGTGTATATATATAATATATATATATATTATATATATATTGTATCTCCCTATGCACACTGTTTAGATGTTTCCCACTAATATTGATTTGTTGTATTTTCATTTTTGTTCAGTTCAAAATATTTTCTAATTGGAGCCTTTTTCTTTGACTTAGATCCATGGATTATTTAGAGGGAGTGTTGTTTTATTCCCAAGTATTTGGGGATTTTTCAGATATATTTCTGTTGTTGATTTCCAATTTAATTGTATTATGTTCAGTAAACATTTTTTAAATTTCGGTTTTAAAAATTTTCTTTAAGTTTCTTTTATAACCCAGGAGATGATTTGTTTTAGTGAATGTTTACGTGCTTTTGAAAAGACTGTGTATTCTGCTGTTATTGGGTAAAGTGGTGTATAAACATCAGATCCTGTTGTTGGTGATGCTCAGTTCTTCTGTAACGTTGTGTTGTATGTCTTTTCATTACTGTGAGAGGAATGTTGAAGTCACCTGTTACAAATGTGGGTATGTCTATCTCCTTTCATTTTTTTTTTTACATTTTTTATTGATTCATAATCATTTTACAGTGTTGTGTCATATCTCCTTTCATTTTTATGAAATTTTGCTTTGTACATTTGAGAGCCTGTTGCTAGGTGCATACACTTATAAGATTCTCAAGTGTTCTTGTTGAATTGCTTGTTTTAACACAGTGCAATGTCTTTTATGCCTAGTGATTTTTTTTTCTTGCTTGGTAGTCTACTTTGTCTTATATTAATATAGTCTCTTCAGCTTTCTTTTGATTATTGTTGTCATGGTGTATCTTCTAACCTCATTTTACTTTCAGCTTGACTATACCACTGTATTTATAGTGAGTTTTTTTGTAGATAGCATATAGTTGTGTCTTGTTTTTAATGTAAGTTCAGAATTCTCTTTTAATTGTTATATTTGGTGATTTGTAATTCACATATATATTGATATGTTAAAATTTAAGTTTATCATTTTAGTATTTGTTTTCTACTTATTTGTTATCTTACGTTTCTTTTTTTCTCCTTTGCTGCCATCTTTTGGATTATTTGAACATTTAGTTAGTATTTTATTTTTATTATATTTCTTTTTGTGATTATTTTAGTGGTTGTTCTAGGGATTTGTTTTTCCTTGTTTCTTGAATATAGTAGAAATGCAATAAATACTTGGTTGATTTAAACATAACCACTTAACTTACCATGGCTGTCTTTTTTTTTCTGTTTTTAATGCAGTGGACAATTTTATTATTTTCTAAATAATTTGAAAGTGAACCTGAAATTTGATTTATGGCTCAGAAGTAATTCTTGAAAAGAGTGAATAACTAAAATAGTTATATTTTCATAACTTAGATGGATTACAGTACAGGTAGATATTAGAGATAATATTTATATTTATACTTGTATTATTCTGTGTTCTTTAGTGCCTACCATGGTGTTGTAATAATAATAGTGATAATAAAAATATAGTAGTAATAATAATAAATTTATTCCAGGTACTTTGGTATATGTTCAAAGCATTATTATATTTAATCATCTTAATAATGTTGGAGATGGTTTATTTCCATTTTATTCATGTGGATACTGTGATTCAGCAGAGTTAAATATTTTGTCCAAGACCACACTCTTATTCGTAGTGAAGTTAAGTTCAGACTCAGGTCTATTTGACTTCAGAATTCATGTTTTACCATTAGTCTAGTCATTCATTCCACTGATATTTGTCAAGTACGTACTATGTGTCAGGTACTATATTATTTCTGATTGAAAATCAACATAATCCTTGTCTGTATGATGCTTACTCTCTTGTGGAAGAGATGGCCATTATACAAGTAAACATAATAATATAAAAATATAATGTGTGGTTACATTGTAGTAAGTACAGTGATGGGGAAGGACAAGGCATGATGAGAATCAAAACCATGGGGACTTGGTTTAGATTCTTTGTAGAAGTGACATTAGAGGTAAGGATCCAGGATTCATGGGAATAGCAGAGAGTAGGAGAAAAAGCTGTATTGGCAGGAGGAAAAGGATGTCCCAAGGCCTTAAGTTGAACGTTTCCAGAGCAGAAATAAGGCCAGAGTGGCTGGAATGTAGTAACAAATGTTCTTTGTGAGATGAGGCTAGACACAGGCAGGGTCGGATTTATCTAGGGCTTTTGTAGGCTATGCTACATTGGTTAATTGGCAGTTGCCTTAATTTTTCCTTCTTAATGATTTAGAATGTAAACCATTTATAAGGTGAAAACTGTCTACTTGTATAAATTAGTTGATTACTATAGCTGGTCTCTCTTTACCTCAGGGTGAGGTAGTCAGTCCTTAGAATCTAGCATCACTTTCTTATCTGTCTGCCCTAAAATCTGTGGTGCCTCAGGTTTTTCTTTCCTTTTTTTTTTTAACACCTTTATTATGGTATGGTTCCTGTACAATAAACTACGCATATTTCAGATGTACAATTTGATGAATTTTGATAGATGTAGACACCCATGAAACCACCATCACAATCAAGACAGTTAACATTTCTATCACTCCCCAAGAGGTGCAATTTTTGAATTCCCAGTGTGTCCCTTCCCACCCCCTTTACCCCCTGGTAACCATGAGTTTGTTCTCTGTGTCTGTGAATCTGTTTCTGTTTTGTAGATAAGTTCATTTGTGTCTTCTTTTTTTTTGGGATTTCACATATAAGCGATAGCATATGGCATTTTTCTTTTTCTGGTTAGAATGATGATCTCTAGGTCCATCCAAGTTGCTGCAAATGGCATTATTTTTTTACGGCTGAGTAGTATTCCCCCCCTCCACACCACATCTTCTTTATCCAGTCATCTGTTGATGGACATTTGGGTTGTTTCCATGTCTTTGCGATGGTAAATAATGCTGCTGTGAACATGGGGGTACATGTGTCTTTTGAGTTATATTTTTCTCCAGATATATGCCAAGGAAGATTTTTCTGATAAAAGAAATTGAATGCTTTCAAAATGGTTAGTAGGTTTCATTGTATTAGTTAAAATAATGCTACATTTAGAATATCATGTGGAGAACAACATACTTTAAAATTTTTTCTCAACTTCAGAAATGCTGTAGATCAAACATGATGTGCTGCTCTTCATTTCAGCTCTTTTTAATGACCATTGAAATACTATCTTTTAGTGCTCCTTTCAGATTTCTAATGTTGAAACACGTGTTTATGTCTTTCTCAGTCTGAGAGAAAAGGCCATACCAGTGCTGGAGATGCAATATACGAAGTGGTGAGTCTACAGCGAGAGTCTGAGAAGGAGGAACCAGTCACACCTACTAGTGCAGGGGGTCCACTGTCACCACAGGAGGATGAAGCAGAAGAGGGTGAGAAGTGAAATGTGCTCAGTTCCCTCCCTTTATATAGCTGCTGTACTTATAATCCTCAAAGACGGATGGATGTGTGTGTGTGACTGTGTGCCTGTGTGGTGGGTTTGGGGAGGAGTGGTGACTGTTCCTAGTCTCTGATACTCTTAGACTAGTTTCTACTAGATGCAGAAGAGAACTTGGTCCATTTGGTTTCCTTGGTTGCATAGTCCTCAGTGTCACTTATGCAACGATTTAAATTTGACAGCCTAACTTTGCTGTCTTGCTTCCTATTTTAAGTATTTGTGAAGTGTTCAATAAGAAGTTTCAGGTTCTCTGAGATGTTTTTAGTGGTATGTCATGTCCTACTCCTCATTTGACATTGTTCAGTTCTGACTTGTCTTTTTGTTGTTGCCTTATCAACTCACTTGTTTTGAAAGAGCTGGTATCTGCTCTGTTTACTACATGAATGCTGCTGAGAGATGCTAACCAACCTCATGAGAGTCATGCTTCATTTGGCTCTGTGCTCAGTACTTTTTATAGAAACGAGAGCTAAATGTTGAATCTTTACTTTAAACCCTTGTATTATCTGCTTAGAGGATAGGGTTTATTAAAAGAAAGTTTCTGAATTTGTATTATTTTTGAAAAAAGTATTTTAGAATTCTCAGTCTTTCTCTCTATGAAACCATTCCTTTCTTGGATTGCCAGAAAAATAATAGTATTTTTAGTTAATATTTGTTGGGTGCTTATTATGCTAGACATTATTCTAAGTGTTTCATTAAAAAAACTTTATGGTGGGGAAGGTATAGCTTAGTGGTAGAGCACGCTCTTAGCATGCATGAGTTCCTGAGATTCAATCCCCAGTCCCACCATTAAATAAACTAAAAAATGATAATAATGAATAAATAATCCTAATTACCTCCCCCTCAAAAAAACAAAAAACAAAACCAAAAAAAATCCTTATGAAGGTATAATTTACATATGATAGAATGTACACATTTTACGTGTATGGTTCATTGAATTTTGACAAATGGATACATCTGTATAACCACCGCCAGAGTCATAATATGAAACATTTCCACTACCCCCACCAAATTCCCCTCATGCCCCTTTACACTGCCCTCACCTGTGGTCTCTGGCAACTACTGATCTGTGTTCTGTCACCATAGTTGCCTTTTCTACAATTTTATGTAAAACAGATCATATAGCACAGTCTTTTGTATATAGCATCTTTCACATAGCACAATACTTTAGAGATACATATATGTGTATAACTTTTATATATATTGTGTCAATAGTTGGTTCCTTTTTATTGTGAGTAGTAAACTTTTATAAAGATATGCCATGATTTGTTAGTCTGTCTAGTCACCAGTAATTGGACCTTTGCACTGTTTCTAGCTATTGGCTATTAGGAATAGAGCTGCTATGAATATTTGAGTACAACAAGTCTTTGGTGAATATATGCTTTCATTTCTCTTGGGTAAACACGTAGGAGTGGAATGGCTGGGTCTTAGTGTAAGTGTATGTTTATAACATTATAAGAAACCAGTAACCTGTTTTTTAAAGTAGCTGTACCACTTTCCTTCCTTATCAGCAACAGAGGGGTCAGCTGCTTCATGTCCTTCTAAACATTTGGCGTTATCAGTTTTTCAGATTTTAGCCATTTTTGTTGGTGTATAATAGTATTTTGTGATACTCATTTGAATTTCCCTAATGACTAATGATGTTGTGCATCTTTTCATATGACATTTGCTGTCTGTATATTTCTTGGTCAAGAGTCTATTCAAATCTGTTGCCCATTTAAAAATTGAGTTGTCTTCTTACTGATTTTTAAGATTTCTTTGTATATAGATAAAGGTCCTTTATCAGATAATGTTTTGCAAATATTTTCTCCTACTCTGTCATTTGCCTTTTCATTTTTTACACGCCTTTTGAAGAGCAAAAGTTTAAATTTTATGAAGTCCAATTTGTCATTTTTTTTTCTTAATGAATTTGTGATCCATTTAAAGTTTCACACATGGTTGGAGGTGTAGGTCAGAGGTTTTTCTGTGTCTGTGTGTGTCTTGAAAAACACTTACTATCTCCCGGTTCCCGTGGATCAGGAATTGGAGAGTGGCTTGTCTGGGCAATTCTGGCCAAAAGTTTCTTAGGAAGAGTCAGATATTTCCTGAGGGGATGTAGTCATCTGAAGACTTCATTGGGTGGTTCTGAAAGCTTTGAGAAGCTTCCAAGGGGCTGATTCATATAGCTGCCAAAATGATGCTGGTGGTTGGCAAAAGACTTCACTTCCTCTCCACGTAGTGCTGCTTGGGTGCCCTGATGATATAATGGCTAACTTTCACCAGCAAACTAACGTAGAAGTTACAGTACCTTTTCTGTCCTAACCTTGGAGTTACACAACATCGGTTCCTTAATATTCTGTTGATCATAGAGTTCAGCCCTTACTTCCATTGTGTGACTCCACTATATTTTTTAAAAGACTTCCAGCAACATTGTTGTGGTCATTTCTATCCCAGTCAACATAAAGAGGAGAAGACCAGAGATCACATGCAGGGGAATTTTGAGTCAGACCTAGAAGCTGTGCACATCCTTTTCTGCTAGACAAGAACCATAGGGGTGGTTGGGGGATGTAATTGAGCTGTGTGCTCAGGGTGAAGAATAAGCAGGTGAGGCGAGTATCTACCAGAAAGTTGCTTGAATACAAGATTTCAGGAAATGCCTTGTAAAAATGACATTTCTTTAGAAATGAAAAATATATGGAACTAGAATTTGAAGAGAAGAATAATTATAGAATGACCAGCTCTACTCAGTAAAAATACATTATACAATTTAGTATCACATAATTATGCCTTTTATTCTAACAGTAAATAAAAATTCCTCACTTCTATCCACTAACTTAAAAGAAGGATAACTAACTTACATGGATTAAACATCTACTTTGTGGCATGTAATGTATTAGATATTTAATAGACCTGGCTTCATATTTTACTCACATTAGCCATGAGAAATAACTGTTATCATCCTTACATTATATATGAGGAAATAGACTCACAAATTTAAGTAAATTATTTCAGGTCATAGGGCTGATAAGTATGATATTACAGAATTCAAATTTATGGTAGTCTTATCTTAAAGCCCATGAATTTTCATGATGCGCAAAATCAAGGTACAGGCATACCTTGGAGGTATTGTAGGTTCTGTTCCAGATCACTGCAGTAAAGGGGATATCATACTAAAGCAAGTCACCAGAATTTTTTGGTTTTCCAGTGCATATAAATGTTATGTTTACACTTCACTGCAGTCTATTTGGTATGCAATAGCTTTGTGTCTAAAAATAAGTACATAGCTTAATTAAAAAATACTCTGTTGCTAAAAAATGCTAACCATCATCTGAGCCTTCAGTGAATCATAATCTTTTTGCAATAGTAACATCAAAGATCACTGACTACAGATCACCATAACAAATGAAATAATAATGAAAAAGTCTGAAGTTTTGTGAGCCTTACCAAAATATGCCACAGAGACTTGAAGCAAACAAATGCTGTTGGGAAAATGGCACCAACAGACTTGCTTGACCCAGAGTTACTACAAAGCTTCCGTTTGTAAAGTATCTGGGAAGTTCAGTAAAGTGAAGTGCAATAAAATGAGGTATGCCTGTATTCTTCCTTAAACCAATGAATTGATATTAGCAACACTCCTAGTTGCTTAGAAGGTAGTATTTTTAGTATTCCCTTAAGAGACAAGATATTACAGATCTTATATTTTCTAGATCATATTCTAGATCTATCCAAAATCACAGACTTTGGATAGAAGGACATAAGGCAATATCATCTGAAAAATATAACAAAAGACCCTGTCTTCCAAACAGCACTGTTTAATGTGAAAGCATTTTGAAGAGTGATTTCAAACATGCAGATAAACTGGTGCATTAGAAAAAAAACTTTAGATATAGAATATTTCAAGTATGTCAGCTAGAAGCCACACATACTTCTTTAAAGGACAGGTTGTAGAAAAATCTATTGGAAGCCAAAATATTCTCTTCAAAAGAAGTCTTTCAGACACACAATTACACCTTTAGTTTATTTCCCTTGCATTCTGTCTGACATGTTACTCAATGCCAGTTCTCAATTTCCAGACTCAAGTCTTAGAAATGTATTTTTTTGACCCAGTGAAAATTACTCTAGGGTTGATGAGATTTGAAAGTTCTGCAAAGGTGCACTTTAAGGGAAGAACCACTTGTGGAAAGTAAATTACTAGAAAACTGATACATTTGAAAGTAAACAGCAAACCCAGTGATCCCAGTTTTGACTTGTTCTCAATCAGCAAAATATTCAGCAACAGTCACTGCTAGGATCTTAAAATCATGTAGGGAGTATTGGATAGACCATCATTTTTCAGTCTTAGTAGAGAGATAAATTGGGTTCAAGCTTCATTTTTTGATGTAGGCATTTTGACAGTTCTTTTGACACAGTTGTGTCAAAATGGCTATTTCAGAATATAAGGAATGAGGAGCAGAAAAGAGACTTGAGAATATTCTGGAGATAAAATCAGTGAGACATACAACTTAATTGGATGTCATGGAGAGCAGTAGAGACGGGAGAGAAAGAATCATAGATTTTCTTTAGATTTCTACTTTAGGTAACTGGATGATCTTGATGCCAACAAATGAGATACAAAACACTGGAGGAAAGAGTTGATTTGGGGGTGGGGGTATGAGTCATTCAGTTTTAGACATTGATGAATTTGAACTAACTGTGGAACATTAAAGTGGAACTATTTTTCAGTTGTTAGAAATAGTCTCAAATTGTGAGAGAGAAAGATTTGAGAGTCACCAGCATGAAGCAACGATAATGGTTGAAATTTCCTTGGGAGAAAATGTGGGAGGGGGTGGGTTAAAGTTTAGGGGATCACTAACACTTAAGGGATAGGAAGAGAAAGCCCAGCTAAAGGATCTGCAGAAAAATAATCAGAACAATATGAGGAGACCTGAGACAATGTAGTAATAGACTAAGGAGTGGAGA